AGCCATTACAGGCTAAGCCAAGTTGACAGACTCTATTAAAGTGCAGCACTGTCATGGAAATCGTGATCTTAACACAAGTGCATGTGACGGATACCAATTACTTTGCTCTTTTTCATAAAAAGTCGGCATGACATGGGAGTTATTATGAATGACTGATAAGATCACTGAATGCTTTACATCATGATATTCAAACATGCTTCATCCTTCATCATGGAGTAAGCATAACTGCTTATCTATCACATTATGACCTGTTGTATGCAGGAGAGGAGGATTAAGCTAGTCACCTCCTAGCCTAAGTTACTATCCGACTGCTAATTGTCACTTACAGAAACTGGCATCTTTCTTCATGACAGGAGAAGGATGCTTAATAACAATCTCCCCTTCAGAACTTATTAGATGAGAGACTTTTCCAGAGAGCAATTATTTTAATCAATGCTATATCATATAAATTATCATCCCTTAACAAATGTCTTTAAAAGCAATTAACTAGACAGTTGTTTCTAAACACCCTAAGATCAGCGCTGCAGTCAAAAGGAGGGCACTGCTTGTTCAGCGTGCCATTTATTGAGAAAACTCCATTTTCAGTAGCTCAGAAGCAGGAAAAAATATGTATGTAAGAACATTTAGAAATAAAGGAAACACTGTAAAAATCAAATGCCTTCATCACAATTCAGAAACTGTAGAATAGATCCTTCTGCTTCTCTGTACTTAAATACAGCAAACACCAAGGTCATGTTCTAGGTTGATTTACTTATGAATAAAGATAAATGCCAATGGAATAGCAGACATTAGACTCACTCCTTCCTGTGTTGAGCAGGTGTATCTCACAAAATAGATGAAAGACTTCAAGAAACAAAAATATTTGTTTTATTACCAATGAAGAACCGAAATCCTCAGAAAGTTTTCGTTCCACACCACTGAAGGGTGATTCCTAAAGATTTAGTTTTCAGCAGCTGTTGTTTGGCAATTATTGTATGATTCACAAGAAGGTATAAAGCCCAAAACATGGTTAAATGTCTGACTTATTCAACTTGAGTATTCAAAAAATGCATTGAAATAGGAATGTGTAAGCTCAGTCACCCTACATGTCCCACAAAGTTACAAATATTTAAGATTTCACCCGTAAGCTGCCTGTGTAATCACAACAGGGCCCTGGTACATACTTCAAAACACATACGTGAAAAACCAAGCAAATCACAATTCTACCAAATTACATAAATTTACAATTATCCAATACATCAAAGGTTTCATCAATGAGTGTAGCATGGCACTCAACCATTCATATTGTCCTCCTATAAACGCATATAAACCAAATGCTGCGGAGTCATGAGCACTCAGTAATACATGTAAAGCACTTATCTTTTAAAAATGACCAAACTAGCCAAAACAGACATATGATCAGTGTTTCATTTGGACGTTTTCAGAGGTTTCTGCAGCTATAGTCAAAAGACTTTAAAAAGTTTTGATGATAAATGAATTAAGCAAAATTCCAGATAGAAAAGTACTACTACAGCTGTGCCTGTTAGAACCACAACAGAATCTTTCTTCTCACAATAAATTAGCAGGTTTTTGACATAACGAAATATTTTCAGTTCTCTGAAGCAAGTTAGTACTTATTCTCCTCCTGCCCAGTAGCAGAAGACATAGCAGCACACAGTTGTTCACAGCAGGCTTTCAATGATATTGTCACATATCAACATTTCTGCTCATAAACGCTTAAGTACCTTGCAAATATGTAAAGGAAAAAACTGTGACTATTTAAATAAACTTTATCCCTTACAGCTCTACTAGACTCATTGTGTAACAGATTCTTTAAAAGAGAACAAGACAGCCATCTAGAGGGCAAGAAAAATAAACTATCTTTAGATCACAAGGGAACACTGAATGACCAATTCACTTTCTGTAAGCCAGGGGAAAAAAAAAAAACACAAACAAATAGATGTGAATCTACGTGAAAAGATCCACATTACTGTTACCCACCAGGGAATTTATTTTACTTGGTATTTCAACATAACGTAGTTAATCAATAACCCTGATCCCCCAAAGTGACAGTTTTCTCTATTTAGGATGATTATTTATGCAGGAAGTACACATTCTTATAAAAGTAAAACGTTTTTCACTGTATGGCACAGAAGTGTAAGAAATTAAAAGCACTGATAAGCAGGGATAAAGATGCCCATTCTGTCTAACTTCTTTACATCACTGTGCTCATCATTTCCCTCCCCAGTGCTGACTGGCTCTGGTGCAGAACACCACACAGCACAGAAAGGCAGCAAAATTAACTGTGAGCTTCCTTACTACAGCATCACAAAAGAGACCGTAATGCCCATAGCAGTTCAGAACTGATAAGCTGTAAACTTCACAGTAAGTCATAGAAGTGAGAGTTCCAAGCAGAGCGTCTTTAAGCATCTAATTCTTAGAATATAAGAGAATTGGATAAATTTGAGGATTACAGCCCAGTGGGAAAGGATTCTGGATAATTCTTACTGTTTACTCATATCTGTTCCTGGCAGTGGGAAAGCTTAATGCAGTTCTATCAGCGTAGCTGGTTTGGAACAGATGTTATAAATGAAGAAAAACGTGCAGAACTGAATTATCAGCACAGAGAAAAGTCTCTAGAGTTTTGATTCAGATTGGGCAGAGGAAGATTGTGGGGTGAAAAAAAGATTTCATCAGCAATGTTCTTCTCTTTCTTTGAACCAATCTCCTTTTTATTGGTCTAATTTTCTACTCTGCCAGAGATCTAATTGTTCTTAATGTAGCAAGTCCAGTGTGACCACTGCAGGCTGTCTCTTATGCCCATTACAGGTACCTGGAATATTTTGGGTTGTATGGGGACAAGTGCATACAAAATCCTCTCGCATCTCTTGCCATTTCCACAATATGGAGTAAAGGTCTTGAGTTGTCACTCGGGAATTGGGGTGTGTGTGGGGAGGGAGGAACATTTAATTCTATTGTATACTGAAGGAATTTGGGGTGTGCATGGGGTGGGGAGGAACATTTAATTCTATTGTATACTGATTTAGGAAAAAGTGGACAGAAGGCCGTTCACACTTTAGGAACTCATCCCCTCGATTTCTATGCGAGCCTGAGACACTTCACACCTTCCCTTTGTTTCACACCTGACACAAAGCCAGGATGGCCCACTTACTGACACTAGCAAGTAATATTTTAATTAAATCCAATAGCGTTCTTTAAAAGACTCTTTACACTGGTTTCCTACTGTTGACCTCTTCCCTAATCCTGCAATGGTTTCAACTGGCTTTTCAATCAGTGGTATTGCTATAAAAAGCAAAACACCTCCTCCTAACCCCATTATGATAAAAGCTATAAATTTTATTATTCATTTTTAATGGGAAGAAGTTATGCTCCCTCAGGAACCGTAAAAGGTAGGGTTTTGATCTATCAGCTAATGGAAGGCTGCTACAGAGTCATGCCTTCAGCAGACAGTCTGATAAAGGGTATACCTTGTACTTGGATGACAAGAGAAAGATAGATGTTGCCCATCATTATTTTTTTTAAAATAAATTCATTAAACAGGACTGTTTTAGGGATTCTTTTGTTTGGTATTTGGTGGAGTTTTGTTTTCTTACTCTCTCATCAGTCTTTGAAAAGTATTTAAAAAAACATATACCATCAACCAAAATTACAAGCTCAGGCCAAGAAACTGTCTTAAGATAAATAAATTCTTTCACATTAAACAGGACTGTTTTAGGGATTCTTCTGTTTGGTATTTCGTGGAGTTTTGTTTTCTTACTCTCTCATCAGTCTTTGAAAAGTATTTAAAAAAACATATACCATCGACCAAAATTACAAGCTCAGGCCAAGAAACTGTCTTAAGATAATTGTCTAATTAACATTTAGATCATGCCACACAAAGGTAATATTTCTGTTCGTCACTCTGTAGTTCAAAATTGTAACAAGCCTTGCTTTACACAGTGCCATTTTCCAAAAGCCTTTAACATCAGCATTTGTATCAAATACCATCAAGGCTATTTAAAAAAAAAAATCATCTTCCAGGTCAAAAATGGTCTGGCCTTGCTCCGGGTTGACCTAGTCACCCAAGTGACTGCAACAACTCAGAAGACGCTCTGAACATCAGCCTGTGAGCATGTTTTTATCCCAGTGATCTCCAGCTACCGGTCTGCGATGTGACAAAAGCTGGTCTTGAGCCACTGGGGACTGGAAGAGCAACATTCATCTTCCAGGTCAAAGCTGGTCTTGAGCCACTGGGGACTTGAAGAGCAACACAGGGAGGCTCATGGGATTTTTGGAGAGTGAAATCATCTTCCAGGTCAAAAATGGTCTGGCCTTGCTCCGGGTTGACCTAGTCACCCAAGTGACTGCAACAACTCAGAAGACGCTCTGAACATCAGCCTGTGAGCATGTTTTTATCCCAGTGATCTCCAGCTACCGGTCTGCGATGTGACAAAAGCTGGTCTTGAGCCACTGGGGACTGGAAGAGCAACATAGGGAGGCTCATGGGATTTTTGGAGAGTGAATGTGTTTATGGGGAAGTGAGATTTTTTCCTTGCTTCCAGTGGTAATCAAAATTATCAGTCTCTCAAAGCACTTACAATTAGCTAGGCTTATAAACACAAATATTTCCTCTTTGTGTTTCAGGTAAATTTCAGTTTTCAGGTAAAGAATATGCAGTCTGAAAGACATTGTAGGGGGAGAGGGGGTAGAAAAGGGGGAGAGATGGACACAGCATAGAATAACAGAATAGTTTGCATTGGAAGGGACCTTTAAAGGGCATCGAGTCCAACCCCCTGCCATGGGCAAGGGACCATCTTCAAATGGACCAGGTTGCTCAGAACCTGACCCAGAACGTTTCCAGGGACAGGGCATCCATCACCTCTCTGGGCAACCTGGGCCAGTGTCTCACTACCCTCAGAGCAAAACATTTCTTCCATCAACATCAACAGTAAAAACCTGTATTGTGAAAATCAAAGTCAGAAGCAAGATGTGGAAAGAAAACAGAACAGTAAAGAACTTACCCCTTTGTAATCAAAGACAGTTCTATCTTAGGATTGCAACAGACTTCAGAGAAAGATTTAATTCACCTCCAGATGATTCCATTATGAAGCAAAGTGAGTAAGTTTAGACATTTGCAGTTGCTAGAAATAAATACGAAAACCCTATTACAAAGGCTGCATGAGGTCTAGGTAAAAAATACTATTTTTCTCAAGAAGCTGAGCTCTGTTCCTGCTTTTGGAATACTTTCTATTTTGCTGTGAAGAGTTTCCAGAAAGGTCACAATTCAGATTCTTTAGTCTGTATCTTACAAACACTCCACTCTTCAAATGCCTCAGCTCTAGCCTCCAGCATTTTTCTAACCTCCTGTTTAAACACAGATTTATTTTAATTGGTCCTTTTCCTCCTGAGTGGTCCCCAACTGCTTTTCTTTGCTTGCCTCACCAGGTGTCTGAGAGGCAAATCACAATAATTTGTTCTGAATTGCCTAGCTGATTGCTGAAAAAAGTGACATTATCTAAAGTAAAAAAGCAGGAAGGGAAATTAGAATCTTCTAACATAACAAAACACACAAACAAAGGACAAAAAGGAAGAGGGCACTCAGAACAGTCTTCTGTCCTCCAACAAGTCCATAAGGCTAGCAAATGTGGTCATACTCCCTGCTACCAAAGACAAATTAGTCACTCACAAACCTAATTAGCAAACCTCAGTTCGTAACAATCTCTCTTCGGCGATATTTTGAACCGCATACACACTGCAAATTAGAAAAAGTTTCACCTGTTGCTTATACGCTTCATCCAGCAGTTAGAAGTATTTTGCAGCATCACAGAGCTGGTGGATGTAAGGAGCCCCAAACGTCATCGCGTCCAACTGCCCTCTCAAAGCTAATTGCCAACACCAGATTAGGTCAGCCCCAGCTTTTGCTGGCTGAAGCTTGAAACATCCAAGTATGGACACCCAGAACTCTCTGGGTAACCTGTTCCAAGTACCGCACCACCTTCTTAACTAAAACTTTTTTCCTTAGTATCTAATCTGAAATGCCCAAGCTGCAACTTGATGTTCCTCTCCTTCATCGTGCCATCAGCCCCTATCAAGAATAGCTCTGCCATCTCTGTACCTCCTGACAGTCTATCTACATACATGGTGAGAAACAACGTTGAGGTTAAAAAGGGTATGACGCAGTTGCAAAACCAAGGTGAAGTCATACTGAAAATAAGGAAATATAATAGTTTTATGCATGAAGGAATACTTCATAACACAACGGAAAAAAATCCTAATGTCGGGCACTGGGACCTTGGGGAAAAAAAGATATTTACTATGCACTTGAGCAAACTGACAGGAGAGGATACTACCTATCCAGACAGCATAAATTTCCCAAATGTTAGGTGACTCAAAAAACACTCCAGCGGTAAAGGCACCTATATAACTCCTTTTTAAGGAGTTATACAGGTAAGAAGCTGCTTACCGTTTCCAGCTCTGAGAGTAGAAACCAAAGCACAGTGGAAGGGGAAAGGAAGGGAGGCGGCCACAGGCGCAGTAAGGGGAGCCAATGGAAATGTAAAGCACGAACAAATTAAGTATTTTACCTGGGATACGGCGGCAGCGCTCCACAGGACACACGAGCCGAAGGACGGAGCTCTCCTCAGCCGCTCCAAGAGTTAACGCGGCCTCCGGGACAGAACGGCGAACGCCCCCGGCCGCGGCCTCCAGTGTGGGGCCGGCGGGTGCGCGGGCCCGGAGGGGCCCTGCGTGAGGCGGGAAGGGAGGAACCCGGCTCCGGGGAAGGACGCGGCTTTTCAGACGCTCAGGCGGCCGCGTCACGAGAGCGCCACCTGCCGCCAGCGCCTCTCTCGAGCGACACCGGCCGCGCCGCTCCGCCTTTGACGGGGACGCTGCGCGGCCCGACCGGCGGCTCCGGCCCTACCGCCGGGGACCCGCCGAGCTTGAGCGCCCGCTGGAGTGAGTAACGGCGCCGGGACCCGGGCTCGGCCCCGGGGGAAAGGAAGCGCGCGGGAAACCGCCCAGAAGCCGAGTGACAGTTGCCCTCCCGCCACTTGGGCGCCTCTTGCTGGCCAGGGCAGGCACCGCGGCAGGGAGCCATGGCCGCCCCGCGCTGTGCGGAGCAAGGGGCTCGGTCTGGAGGAGGCCGCTTGCTCGACCACCAGGATTGAAACCCTCAGGACAGCAGATGGACACCACCGTGCGTTGCCCCCATCGCCACAGGCTGGGCCTTTCCCTCCTCGGTCCTGTGGGGCAGCTGCCGTGACCCTCACTGGAGGCCCAGCCAGCCCTCACCGACCAGCCGGAGCCCAACGCCTCAGGCTTCAGAAGGTACCTCAGGGGGATTGCCTCAGTCTTCAACAGAAAGGGATCTAGGCACCTTTTCCCTCATGCCCACCTCTGTCTGCACCTTCTTCCTCCTCAGAAGCACACCGCCTCAGTTTGCAAAAACAGCCACAGAGATTCTGTACCACCGTAGGTTCAGAGGGGGGAAAAAAAGGGAGAAAGATGAAGCCTTAGTTTATAGTCTCCTTTACAATTTCAGTGCTTTTATTGGAGAGGCTGTGATACTGCCTTCCTCTGTCTGCCCGCAGCAGGTCAGCACAGGAACGGGAAACAGGGAGAAAATAAAGCATATTTACTATCCTTCCCTGGTAGCATAACGACTTTATCAGAAACAAAAAACTGCCTCACTAAAGCAGCAACAGGTTAAGTTACACTTTCCTTGAATAGCAGCACCTGGCTTAAATTGATTAACGTTAGGAAAGAAGTTAAGATTAATTGTAGCACGTTAAAGAAATATTGTGCTCCTTACTAGAGACAAATTTAACTTTTAAAGCTAGTATTGTTCAGGTAATAGTGAAAATAATAAGTATTCTGTTTTGAGATGCTACCATTAACCATTAGCAAATGCAATTTTTAAGAGTAAGGTAACGTTGACAAAAAAAACCCCCTGCCACACACCACCAACAAAAACCAGCAACACACACACCCCCCAAGGCAGAATTTCAGAACACAGCCTGAGGCTCAGCATCAATCAAAAGAAGAGAACAAGTCACTTCGCCATTTATTTGCCTTGAAAGTCTTGAGTCATCTTATGAAAACCGAGTATTCAGTTTGAAGTCAGCTTTTAATTGAGAAGAAAGCTAAGGGTGACTAAAATTCTTAAAGCCTCACATGGGAAGGTGGTATTTACCTTTTTTAAAAATATGGTGAATATGGCTTTTTAAAATTTGCTTAACCATGTAGGCCTTTATAGACTTTTGTTGAAGTGTCTTACCCACCAACAGAAATAGCAATGTTACACTTGACCTTTTTTCATTTTATTAGCACAAAATCACGTAGAGAGTGAAGACAAAGAGAGGAACATACATGTGTACTTAGAACATGGAAAACTCACTGCACAAATGGGAATGGTTTCTTTCTTCCTGTGATCTTGCCAATTACTTCTCCTCTCACCTTGAGCACTAAAACACTGATAGAGCTTGCAAGCTACAAAACCCACTCTTACAAGCCTGCAGCATTTTCTTAAAAAAAACAAACAACCCTGCAGTTCCATTATCAAAAAGGGGCTTGGCCTAGGTTCAGAACTACAACTGCTATTAAGAGAACTGAACTAGAGCACTTGAATTCTCAAGTCTCCTGCTGACCGTGGTAACTTCTGGAGCAGATCTTTTATGTATTTAGTATCATACATCATCTTTAAAACAAAGGAAAAACATTTAGACAGTATTGTGGATACACCCTAATGTTAATGCCTGTATATTCATTTTTACATAGTTCAATGAAAATCCATTCTATAAGCACAGAAGCAATCCCGTGGTTATTTCTGACCTCATAAATACATCAGTTGCAGAGCTCGCTTACAGTTACAGATCTTCTTGCAGAAAAATTTACAGTGGCACTTGTATAGTCAGTTGTTGGTCAGGTGGCTTCGCAACACCGATACATACACAGGGACAGGTAAAAAGAGGTGAGATCTTTGCGGGCCAGTAGCTGAGCTTACTGCATAGCAAGGCTGATGTACAGGATGACATCTGCAGCAATAATACCAATAAATTAGACTGAAACAATTCAGATATACCTCCCAGAGCATGAAAGCGAGCATTCACAAAAAACTAAAGCAGCAACAGGTTAAGTTACACTTTCCTTGAATAGCAGCACCTGGCTTAAATTGATTAACGTTAGGAAAGAAGTTAAGATTAATTGTAGCACGTTAAAGAAATATTGTGCTCCTTACTAGAGACAAATTTAACTTTTAAAGCTAGTATTGTTCAGGTAATAGTGAAAATAATAAGTATTCTGTTTTGAGATGCTACCATTAACCATTAGCAAATGCAATTTTTAAGAGTAAGGTAACGTTGACAAAAAAAACCCCCTGCCACACACCACCAACAAAAACCAGCAACACACACACCCCCCAAGGCAGAATTTCAGAACACAGCCTGAGGCTCAGCATCAATCAAAAGAAGAGAACAAGTCACTTCGCCATTTATTTGCCTTGAAAGTCTTGAGTCATCTTATGAAAACCGAGTATTCAGTTTGAAGTCAGCTTTTAATTGAGAAGAAAGCTAAGGGTGACTAAAATTCTTAAAGCCTCACATGGGAAGGTGGTATTTACCTTTTTTAAAAATATGGTGAATATGGCTTTTTAAAATTTGCTTAACCATGTAGGCCTTTATAGACTTTTGTTGAAGTGTCTTACCCACCAACAGAAATAGCATTGTTACACTTGACCTTTTTTCATTTTATTAGCACAAAATCACGTAGAGAGTGAAGACAAAGAGAGGAACATACATGTGTACTTAGAACATGGAAAACTCACTGCACAAATGGGAATGGTTTCTTTCTTCCTGTGATCTTGCCAATTACTTCTCCTCTCACCTTGAGCACTAAAACACTGATAGAGCTTGCAAGCTACAAAACCCACTCTTACAAGCCTGCAGCATTTTCTTAAAAAAAACAAACAACCCTGCAGTTCCATTATCAAAAAGGGGCTTGGCCTAGGTTCAGAACTACAACTGCTATTAAGAGAACTGAACTAGAGCACTTGAATTCTCAAGTCTCCTGCTGACCGTGGTAACTTCTGGAGCAGATCTTTTATATATTTAGTATCATACATCATCTTTAAAACAAAGGAAAAACATTTAGACAGTATTGTGGATACACCCTAATGTTAATGCCTGTATATTCATTTTTACATAGTTCAATGAAAATCCATTCTATAAGCACAGAAGCAATCCCGTGGTTATTTCTGACCTCATAAATACATCAGTTGCAGAGCTCGCTTACAGTTACAGATCTTCTTGCAGAAAAATTTACAGTGGCACTTGTATAGTCAGTTGTTGGTCAGGTGGCTTCGCAACACCGATACATACACAGGGACAGGTAAAAAGAGGTGAGATCTTTGCGGGCCAGTAGCTGAGCTTACTGCATAGCAAGGCTGATGTACAGGATGACATCTGCAGCAATAATACCAATAAATTAGACTGAAACAATTCAGATATACCTCCCAGAGCATGAAAGCGAGCATTCACAAAAATCAGAAAAACACAGTATTCTATTCAGATTGCATGGCGACAAACAAGGAGGTGTTTGCCACAGTACAGAATCAAAGCACTTTCAACGTCCAGTTTTATTAGGAGGTTGTAGCACAGTGATATTTAATTACCGTGCAAGGATAACGCCCTCGGACATTTTCCTACAAATTCTCTTGATTATCAGTCAGAGAGCAGAGAGAGATCCACCATCAAAAGTCGGTAACTTTTTGATTTCTTTGCTTGGGAATAGCTGGAAGTGGTTGTTTTATTCCAACAGATGGCAGACATTTCAGTTAAGTTAGCCATGCAGTTGTTTTGTGAATAGGATTAATCACACAGATTTATGACATCCATGGTTTTTTTTGCAAAAGAGAGCAGGTAGTTTATTTCGATTGCATGGCGACAAACAAGGAGGTGTTTGCCACAGTACAGAATCAACACACTTTCAACGTCCAGTTTTATTAGGAGGTTGTAGCACAGTGATATTTAATTACCGTGCAAGGATAACGCCCTCGGACATTTTCCTACAAATTCTCTTGATTATCAGTCAGAGAGCAGAGAGAGATCCACCATCAAAAGTCGGTAACTTTTTGATTTCTTTGCTTGGGAATAGCTGGAAGTGGTTGTTTTATTCCAACAGATGGCAGACATTTCAGTTTAGTTAGCCATGCAGTTGTTTTGTGAATAGGATTAATCACACAGATTTATGACATCCATGTTTTTGCAAAAGAGAGCAGGTAGTTTATTTCTGGTTCTAATACTTCCCTTCCATCAAAAAGGGGGATACCAAGAAGCGTGGTCTGAAAGCAAAGTATCACGATCTCTTAAAATGAAGCTCCAGGTCAGCTCTCCAAACAAACACAGAAGCACCTTGCAGCCACCTAAAAAGTACAGAATTCGTAATAGTCTCAACACACCAGCGAGAGCAAGAACTACTTTATGGAATGATTTGTGAGACCAGCCTCACCAAACAAAAAGCCTGAGTTTCACAAGCCTAAATAATAACACCACCTTTTTTCTTTCTTTTTTTTTTTTTTTTCTTAACAAAAGGGTAGACTTAAGCAAAAGTGGATAGTCTGCAGATTAATTTAAAAAAAAAAAAAAAGTTGAGCAAGTGACTATTTGGTGTTTCACGCAAAGTCAACTCAATCATTTGTAAATTTTGACTGGGCAATCCGTCAGAGACAGACTGTTGAAACAGGACTCCAAACTGAAAAACCACTGCATTTGCAATAAAGCTGGTTTCAAACCGGCGTTTCTAAGTCCACTGGCCTCAAAAGTATTTTTACAGTAGTTTCAGTTGTCCAACGTTGAGTTACAAGCTGCTGTTCCACAGTTAGCGCCGCTCTTCTCCTTCAGGCTTTCAGACTACTCTTCTCTTGTTCCGCAAAACTTTGGAGTGAAGAGCTGACAAGTCTGTCCAATGTCTTTAGTTTTTCCTCTAGACTGCACTCCTCGGTGTGCCATTGTGAGTCACTGCTTTCATATTTGAGGCGCTTGATTGATGGTTGCAGATTCTGTGGGAAGCAACACCTACTTCAAAGACTTCATGAATGGCTTTGCGGAAGCAATGAAAATTGTAGTCTATCAGACCTGTCGAGAAGGAGGGGGAAGGGAGAGGAAAAACTGTGCTCAGCTTGGCACATTTACATAATCAACACAGTTTCAAAATAAATAGATTTCATTTCGCCAACAGCTATTTTGCTTCTTATTTTAGTATGGATTTGGATTCAGAAGATTTAACAAAGTTTTACTGATGCCAGTATTTAGATTATCTCAGTTTATATAAAAAAAAAAATTAAAAAGTACTCAGTTGGAATGCAAGGTGTATATTCTTAATTAAACAGCAGGTAAGGGAACACCACCAGACTCTACCCCCAAAAGACATGCTAAGACAGAATGACCATCACTTGAATGTTACCTTATACTTTATGTCATTGATATATACCCTAACTCTGGTTAGAAAAACTTTGAGATCAAATACTGTACAGCAATTAAAAGAACACATTTGCTTTTTCTCTTTTTTAAAACACCAAGGTAAGTACTGTCAGCATTTAAGTCAAAGACTTTGAAATTAGGGCCTAGGCTGTCATTTCTAACCCATAACATATGCAATCCCTCCCAGAAAAAAATAAACAACTTTAATTACACAAAAATCAAGGTGACTATATATATTATAGTTGGTTATATAAACCATTAGATAAAAGCCATTCAATGGGGGTAAGTCCTTACCTTTGCGCTCAAAACTTTCTTCTCTAAGAATGCAAACTAATGCCAAAAACTTTGTTACTTCCTTTAAGTACAGGACCGTTGTGTTATTGAGCTTGATAATTGCCATTGACTCTTTATCATAAGCACTTCCAGTGCCATCTTCCTTTAACCTAAGAAAGAACGAGTTAACCCAAGACATAACCTAGTAGGCATGCACACGTAACTTCAAGAAAAATACCTGTTAAATGCAGTTTGAAGAATATTACTGAACAGTGACCAAGTAAAGAACCTGCAATGCAGGTTTTAATACCGTTGTAAGAAAGACCATTATCACACCTTAAGTTTCTCAAGAAAGCTAGACCTAAACAGAGCAGAGGCCCTTCAATTACACACTCTCTCTCTTCAATGAGTAGTTAAGAGCAAGCTATCAGCGTGCATTCTTTTGATATCAAACTAGAGCTGGGGCTGTTCAGTTGATACTGCTTTCAGCTTACAGCTGAGCATTCTTAATGGAGGTAGTAAAATACATTAGTTTTAGGTTAGTTTACCTTCAACCCAAAGAGTCACTGCCTCACTGAGCTTACAATGTCGCAGTAAGGTATCAGGTGATTGGTTTGAAGATTCTAATGTAGGACTTCTATGTAGAAAGGTCAATGGAGTGACATCTGAGCAAAATTCCTTTTAGTAAATTAAAGGCTGGGACGGGCAGGGGGGTGGCAAGGTGTGTGCAACAGGGAGCAGGGCACTTTTTGGTCTTAAGCTAAACCAGCCTGCATTTAGAAGAAAAAGATTAGGATGCCGCTTTCTATTTGCAAGTTATTAGTGTTAAATTACTGTAGAAGCAAAAATGTATCGCAAGCTACTTCTAAGCATTCACTCTTGAAAAAACCCCAGTTAAATTACTGTAGAAGCAAAAGATGTATCGCAAGCTACTTCTAAGCATTCACTCTTGAAAAAACCCCAAAACAGTTACACAACCCTGGGCTGACCCGTCAGGAGACAGACCGTTAAATGTTGTGATATTTCTTGGCAGCACTGTATTTTCCAGCCTACAACCACACTTCTAAAATAAGTTACTGTAACTCCAGAGCCACTTCAAAAATCAAAAAAATCTGTTCTGAAGTATAATTCGGCCATGAATTGCGAGGAAGATAGCAGCAAGTCTTAAAGCAACCTGACTGTAAGTTACACTTACAAACTATGGCAGCCACCATGCCAAACAGGGCACAGTAATATTCATATTTTACATGAAACACTTCTACACGTCAGATGGTTGTCTAAGGCCATGAGTGGAGGGAAACAAACCGTGTACAAATGCTCAATCCAGCTGCCAAATCATTTGGCTTTATTCTAGTGACTTACAGAACCAATGCACTCAACAGACCAGTCAATGGCATCTTGCTGGATGACAAAGCCAGCACCACTTGCACAGTTTGCAACCTATTCTACAACTTTTAAGGACTTTTTTCACTTTTTATTTATCACTTACCCATATATACAGGAAACATCTATCACTACATCGATCATGTCACAGCACAACTCATATGACTGCATGTCCACAGGGGAGCTGTCTGTTGCAATGTAGATTTTGCTGACTACATCGAAGAGAAAAGCTTTTTCAATGCCTGAATTCTTCAGAAAGAGAAAGAATTTGGATGAATTTTTAAAATAACTGCATTTTAAAAATCGCAAGTAGAATTCATACACTTTCACATTTTTAATAGCAGGAAATGGTTTAAACATAACCAACTTAGAGGCTTAAGACAGAATCTATATGAAGTATATACTTTATAAATGCAATAACCTCATTACTATAGTACATATCAATATTAACCTTCTAGTTGACAAAACTAAAGCTGGGGACTTGGTTAGAATTCTTTTTAGTTTATTATTTACCTGATTATAATTAAGGTTACATTTTACTACGCTTCCAGAACCCAAATTCAGTAGTTTTCCTCTTCTGTGGTTCTATTAACTCCAGAAGACCCACACATTCACATCCACCTGATGGACCAGGCTCAGACAAGTTATTTCACAGCAGCATGCTGACACTTAAATTTTACACTTGTAGTATCTTGGCAGTTCAGTTTCTGTGTGAGGCAGTTGCCATGTAGTTGGAGCAAATAAAGTCAGCTTCTAAACTGCAACAGCCTCACAGGCATAACTTCCATGAGACAAGCTACTTCAGCCTTGTCTCTAAGGTGACTTTTTATTTGATTTAAAGTACACAGGAGCAAATTCCTATGTCACAAATTCTTTAAGAAACACCAATAGAAAAGAATAAGGGCAAAAGTCTCACAGGCCACATGAAATAGACAGTTTAGTTTAAGGCCAAGTTCATATTACAAAAAAAGTCTCCTGCTAGTACAGGTACATTAAACTACTAAGTGCCTTAGCAGTCTAATCAGTGTATCGTGCTGGCAGAGAACTCCCATATCAACAGTTATAACCAGCCAAACTATGCTTTGTCAGTTTTTAGAGAAACCCACACAAAGCACACACCAGTACAATTTAGCTGTGGTAAAGAGCTTCTAATTGCAGACAACCACACCAGCAGAGATCACCAACATGAGTGCCACCCAAATCTCCCAAATGCAGATCTACCCAGTGTTCCTTAGCAAAAGGACTTGCTTTACCATTCCATATATTTCGCTCAAAGTTCTCTTAGATTAACACTTACAGATATAAAGATATTTAGTAGATTTTCCAGCGTTGGCAGTTGCGGAATAAGCTTCTGTACCACTTTACTGAAGGCTTCAAATATTGAATGGTCATAGATACTGGTCAAATAAAAGCTGAGATGAGGAGGGAGGAAAAAGTAAGAAAAAAACCCCAAAGATTGAAGAGAATTTCAGAATTGCAATAGAAATGTTAAAGCTATACTTTCTAACGTTAAGACCAGATGATTTAGTTGGGATGCCTTTATCATAAATATACCTGGCCATTGAACCAACAACCTAATTTCCAAGTGACTGCAGTAAACATGAAACAGACTTCTCCCATCCCCAGGAGATGGGAGAACAGAGAGAAAAATCTGAACATGCTTTCACAACACACTTAGCCTACAGAATCCGTATCACAAAGGGGTTAAATGCTCAGCTAGATATCTTCAAGTCCCATTCCTGGCCTTCCACTGTATTCACACTAACACTGAGAGATACTGGCAGTACTTAAAGGCTCCATGAGATTCAAAACAGTAATAAAAACAGATAAAAGATAGCTCTTTTAAAAGGTGTCAGTAGAAAACACCTGGCTTAAAAGCAAGCCAAATATCAAGTAAGAGAGTAAGTTCTTAAAACCAAACACACTGAAAAGTCAGTGCTAGCCAGGACTAGAAGGCAGGCAGCTTCCCCTCTCCTTCCCCTGCCCCCACCTCTCCAGGCCACATGTACAAATTTGGCCAGTTATGCTAAATGAAAAGTATGCAAAAGGACTTGGAATTATCAGCGAGTTTACGAATAAATCTGTTGACTGGAATCTGATGCAGCAGCCTGCCTTATTCTAGTCAGCCTAACAGCTGAGGCTTGGCCATCAATTCAGCAGTGCATTTTATAACAAGAGTTTGCACAATATTAAGAAACAAACCAGGCCTTGCTCCAGTCCATCCACTATTACATCTAAAAGCCATTAGTCTATATGCATATCAGTAGCAACAGTAGAATCACATATGCCAGAATCTTTAACTCACCTAAGGTGAAGTTTTTCAAGCCCAGCATCTGCAAGGTCATCATTAGCCCTCTGATGAATATCCCTCTGAGTTTCTATTTTATGGTCATCCGATAAACCATCAACTTTATGAATAAAAACTTCAAAGTTCATTTCCGGGTTGACCTTGTAGGCTTTTGAAACTGTAATGTGGAGTCTTGTTAAAGCTTCCATGTAGTCATCCTGTAAATCAGTTTTGGCAGGAATGAATGACAAGGCTTTATCTTCAATAACTATTCCATTCTGCACAAGGACAAAATATTTCAGTGCAAGAACTTCACTTCTGTAACTAAACAGAAGTATGGGAGAACACCTTGGAGTGTCAGAAATCCAAGTAGCCTAGATTCTGTTATGTAAATTAAGTTGCATTAGCTATACAAGGCTCAACTATACAGAACTAGGCTTCAGAGCAACAGGAAGGTTACACTTCAGCTCCAGCAAAAGGCAGCAGCAATCTCCAAGACGGTCCTAATAACCAGGTAATCTTCCATGGTGCAGTTCCTAAGTTCACTAGAAGCTACCACATACCAAATACAGTACTTGAACCAGGTCAGAGTGTGCTGTTATTAAATGAACTCCATAGCAGCCAAGAGCAGAGGGAAGAGATAATTCAGAGCACCCAGCACAGCAGGGTCTCACTGTTATAGTAGAAAAAGTAAGTTCAGAGTACTCGCCCCTTTCCGCTCTCTCCACTGGGAGCGTATGTTCCAGTCACTTCACAAAACTAAAAACCACACACCAGAAGTTAGATTCCCAACATATCCTTTCATACATAATAGATGTCATACAAACTTATCTAAAAATCTAAATTGTTAGCTTCTTGATAATTCCTTTCACACACAAAGCAAAAAGAAAACTTCCTTGTGACTGTTAGCGATTTGTATTTACCTGGGCATCAATAACATATATTAGAGCACCTGTTCCTCTGAAGATCATCTCATAATCAAATGTTGGATCAAAAAAGTCCATCTGTCCAGGAAAATCCCATATTTGGAAATTCACAAATGAACTGTTGGAAATATCATCTTTGTAGATCTTGTTGGTACTTTCCAAGAACAGAGTCTCATTGGGAGACATTTTGTGAAACACCACCTGTTAAAAGAATACAAATAATAGTCTCAACTTTATCTTATTAGAAGAGATTGGTACAAATTCTGTGACTTGAATCATAGAAATCGGTTTGTCCATTCTAAAGTGTACCGCTTCCTTTTGTTTAGTGAGGTTCAAAGTAGTACATCAGCCTAGAATTTTAAGACAGAGGGAAAAACCCCCACAGTTCCTCAAGGCAAAAGTTTGAGAAAGCCAGGATCTACATGTAGATGTACATGATCTACATCTGGCAGGAAATTTGCGTGGAAAAGTAAGAACAGTTCTAGGTACACAGGGGCTGTATTGCAAGGACTAGAAATACCTTGGCATTTCAAATCGGTTTGTCCATTCTAAAGTGTACCATTTCCTTTTGGTAAATATACAGCTTTCTGTATCAGCTAAGGAAATACCTACCCTCAACCAGAACCAAGCAACTGAACACAGTTCCACTGCAAAAAGATGTTTCTATATAGCACTTGGTAATTTATTTTTTTTTCACGTTTCACAAAGTTACACAAGTCATCCATTAAGGAGATATTGCAAGGACTAGAAATACCTTGGCATTTGCAGCAGTTTTAAAGCGTTCGGAAATCAATGTTCTTTTGTTTGAATTCAGCATCTCCCATTGGGAGCAGGGCAGAATTAGTGAATCCAGTTCAAAGCAGCTGAGTCTCTGAGAAGCAATGCCATCATCCCCTTTTCCCCTGCTTCCCAAAGCAGTGCATTTCATCGGACTGGTGTTCCCCATCTGTTTTTTATACTGATAGGGGAACTGGAACACAGCTTTGATCCCATTTCATTTCCATCACCTAGCATCTATCCCTACTCTTACTTGTTCTACACAGCTTCGATAAAGCAAATACAAACACTATGGAAGCATGCAGCTAACACTGACACCAAGCAATTTTGACTAGGCATATGCAGGCAGAGAAGACAAAGCTAGTAAAATTCTAAGAATTTGCCGAGTTTCCTCACTATATGACTTCTATCATTTCTAAGTGTTCCTTGTATACCTTCAACATCCAATGGTCTCCTGCTTCTACTGTATTTTAAGACTTCACTCTCAGCTTAGAGCACTCTTAGCAGCACACTCATTTAGATTTTTTTTCTTATCCCTCTGAATTTCCCATTCACATCTGACCTGTCATGATCTCTAAATTTTCGGGTTGTTTTTGTTTTGGTTTGTTTTTTTTATTTCCTAATGTGTCAACCTTTTCTCTACAATAACTTCTCTACAGCAGGACTTGGTTTTACTTTTGAATTGCAGCAGGTAATTGCTGCCCTCCTAAGGCAGTATTTCTGAACCCTCTTTGTGGTTTTGGTCTGCCCTTTTCCTGTTTGGTCGGTGTGGTTTTTTGTAAATCACAATCTCAACCTGTGGGTAGTTACCCTGCCTTGGATCCACGACTTGAGTTTGTCCAAAATGTTCACTCCCACTGCCTTAAACTTTGAACGGACTCTCCAGGGAAGTACGTGGTTGTTTGGGGGTTTTTTGTTGGTTTTTTTAAACAAATCAGAGAACAGCTATATTCAGAATTTCACTTCCTGGTGAAATGTTGGCCTAATCCATACAAACAATAATTTCCCAGACCACCAAACAATAATCCTATACATCAACTGACAAGCATGACTTCCACAACATTCCTACTACAAGAGCTTAGGATCAAATATGAAGCAAGACACCTTATCAGGTACATTGTAGCAACACCTGGAAACTGCAAGAATATCTAAGGCAGGAACTGCAAGTTGCTGAGAAAGTAACAAGGGATAGTTTCCTTTCCCCCCCCCCCTTTGACACTTGGTCTGCAAACATGAATCACTGGTTTATATCCGAGAAATCTACATCTTTTTCCTCAGAACGGAAACAACAACCAGAGCCAGAACTTTTCCAAGAATCTTCACTGTGCAAGTAACCCAAAGGGCAGAACCCATCACTGGGAGTTGTCCCAAGCCACCACAAAGTGTGCCTCAGTGAAGTCTGTACAGCCAAAGCAGGCAATTTGCCCTTCATAACCAGCCAGTCTCCCCACTGCTGCACAGGATCATTCTGCATGTAAAAACAGGCTCCTCTACCTATAAGTCCAAATACAGAATGGGTTTTCAAACTCTGTTTTTTTCCAGTCAGTTAACCCCTTTTTTTTTTTCTGGAAATAATATCCCCCTATTTCCAATCCCCTGATGTCCATAGATGAATTTATATGGGCAGATGGAAAGAGGTCCCTGAAAAGAGAGAAAAAAGGTATAGTATTGCAAGACTGTGTTGAGTACCTCATAATTGGAAGTGAGCAACTCTTCACAGGCAACAGTGAAAAGCAACTTCCAAAGGATTCCCTAACAGCAATAAGATGTACAACCATTTCGTCATTTTCATGCTTTCCAGAATCTTTGCTTTAATTTTGTGGGTTTCTTAACCTGTGATAATGAATGAGATGGTCTCAGAAGTAGCAGCTGTCTTTTTTTTTTCCAGAGGAGATATTTGGGGGGTGTGGGATGACGAAGGAAGAGAGTAAGTACAGCAAAAGGAAGACAAGACAGACAAAATTTTTAAAGAAATTCACTAGTTATTAGGAGCACTACAATACGTCTTGCTGTAAGATTTTCTAAGTATTAGAGCTTGCTACAGAAGCATGACAGACAGCTGCTTCTGACTCCCTACTCACCTACTTTAAAGAAAAATGGGTATAAATGAAAGGTTTACAGCAGCTCCAAACAAGCTGCTGCTTTAAGTTCTACCACACACACAAATTCCTTCCCCAACAATATATTTATGCTAATCTTATGAAGGCAGAGCAGCAAGTCTGGTGACCATGACAAAAAAAAACCCACACACCTGACCAAACAAACAAAAAAATCCACATCCCCCAAAACCCCAAATCAGGTATTCTGAACTCCTTCCAGGTTCCTATTACATAAGGACAGTACAGCAAGTCCAGGTATGCAAATTATAATTCTGAAGGAAAAATCTCTGCAGGATTCCACGCTTGGATTTGAGAAAGTTTGAGGCCCCTAAGCCTAGAGCTCGAGAACTGTCACATTTCACTAGTAATGCTTTCTCATAAAGATACCACCTGAAGACTTGGTAATAGGGACTGCAGATACAAAATTTGCACTGAACAGCAACAGTCATTCTTAGTGCTACTAAAAATAGTTTTGTCTTTTGTTTTTATTAAGAAACACTAGCAACTTTACGAAGCTACGAACAAACCTGAGGCACTGAAACCATTTTAATTTCCTCCTCGACCAGCAGCTCTCCTTTGCTCAGCCTCACACACCAAAGGAAACCAGAGGCGGCCGTTCTGCCGGTACGAAAGCAGAAGTCTCTTTCAAAGGATCAAGACGCAGAACAACAACTCCTCCTTCCTACCAGGAGCACTGGCTAAACAGCATGCACCTGTGCCCTCCCAGAATCACAGAATCTTCTAGGTTGGAAGGGACCTTAAAGATCATCTACCAAGACGCAGAACAACGACGACTCCTTCCTACCAGGAGCACTGGCTAAACAGCATGCACCTGTGCCCTCCCAGAATCACAGAATCTTCTAGGTTGGAAGGGACCGCAAAGATCATCTTGTCCAACTGTCAACCTAACTGACAAAAATAGACACCCACACAACAAACAAGGAGCATCACCATCACTAAACCAGACCTCCCAGCACTACATCACCCCCTCTTTTGAACACCTCCAGGGATGGTGCCTCCACCCCCTCCCTGGGCAGCCCATTCCAATGGCTGAGAACCCTTTCCGTGAAAAAATTTCTCCTAATATCCAGCCTGAACCTCCCCTGGTGCAACTTGAGGCCATTTCCTCTCGTCCTGTCGCCTGTGACTTGAGAAAAGAGACCGACCCCCACCTCTCTACACCCTCCGTTCAGGGAGTTGTAGAGAGCAAGAAGGTCTCCCCGGTGCCCTAAGAAAACATAACCGATGTCACACCGGTGTCTTCACTTTTTATTTTTGAAGCGTTACGGTGAAGAACTACAGAGGCTACCACCTACGCCAGCCGGGTTCCCCTGGGGGCCGGAGGCCTCAGTCCGCTCTGGGAAGGAACCGCTCTTAACCAGGCGCTTGCCTCTTGCTCCAAGTTGGCTACACGCGCCCCCGGTAAAGAGGAGAAACGGCCTGAGGAGCGACAAGGGGAAGGAGCCCGGGGGCGGCCGCCCCTCACCTTCTGGATGGAGGACTTGCCGCTGCGCCGCAGCCCCATGAGCAGGATCCGCGGCTTGGAGTCCGCCCCGCCCGCGCCGCCGCCAGGCCCGCCCGCTCCACCGCCGGGTCCGCCGGGCCCTGGGCCTCCTTCCAACTCCGCCTCTTCCTCCTCCTCCCCGTAGCCGAAATCTTTAGGGAACGAGTCGGCGGCCCCGAAGCTGCCCCCCACCAAGGCCGGCTCCTCCGCCGCGCCCGCCCCGCCGAACTGCAGCGCCATGGCCGCCCTCCGGCCCAGCGCCCGCCCCGCCGCCTCCTCCTGCTCGCCCAACCCAACGCGGCCTCGGATTGGCTGGCGCCAGGTTCCGCGGCGCCCATTGGCTGAGGAAGGCAGCGGGGTAGGGTGGCTCCGGTCAGACGACCCGAGTCACCTGACAGCGCTGCCGCACGTGAGCGGGAGGGGCGGGGCCGGCAGCGGCGCAAAAGCTGCCGTAAAGCGAGGGCGGGAGCGGCGCGTCCCAGTCATGAAGTAAGTGTCGGGCGTCGCTCCCCAAGCTTCACCGTAATCCGTGTTATTTAATCACCAGCCTCACCGAGGGCTCGCAAGAGCAAACTTGTGTCCGGAGAGGCGCGGAGGCAGCGCCGACACCGGCCCCGCCCGAGCCCTCGGCCCCCCGCAGCCTCACCCGCTCCCACCGGCGGCCACCGAACAGCAGGTACGGGCTCTACCGACAGCGAGCTGCCTTCTCTCCTTCGGAAAGAAATAGGGGATAGTAGCGACTGAGTTTAAATCGAACGAATCACCTGCTGCTAGGCCGCGTTGGTGCCCAGCTGCCACGGGACACACCGGGGGGCGGGGGGGCCTGAAGGCTGCAGCCTTCACTTAGGCCTCCTGAACTCATTTCCAACTTCTAGTTAATTACATATAGGAAAGCCCTGTGACTAGGAGATAAGGAAGCTGCTAGAGTCAGCAGAGCGTGCAACTCAACAAGATAAGAACAGTTAACGGCCTGCACGAAGCCCCTGAGGAAGAAGACAACCCCAGACCACAAATTACCGTTGAACCAGGTGGTGCACGACATTTGTAAGGGTGTCATCACCCAGGAGCTTCTTTATTCTGGGTTCCTTTCCCGAGGCAGCCATCCTTGTTGCTGTACTACTCCAGTAATTTTTTCTTTTTCTCCTTTGGATTCTTGCCCGAGACACCCCTGGGGGAATCCTAAGGTGAAGAAACACAGGGTGGGGCATTTTTTTATGTTTCAGGCTTTTCCTGGATTTTCTTCTTTAATGTGAGTTTCTTCAGTGCTGTTTTAAAGCCTTAACACAGTATTTTCCTCTCATTTTTCTCTCTTCTGGTCTCTTTAGATCAGTAAGTAGTGAGAAACACAGGGTGGGGCATTGTTTTATGTTTCAGGCTTTTCCTGGATTTTCTTCTTTAATGTGAGTTTCTTCAGTGCTGTTTTAAAGCCTTAACACAGTATTTTCCTCTCATTTTTCTCTCTTCTGGTCTCTTTAGATCAGTAAGTAGTGCAGTAAGGTAAGCAACTATTACATTTATTAGCCCTTGATTTCAGTTCTTACATTGCCTTCAGTAGAAGTTCTGACCCCACCTACCACACCTGTAAGACAAGCTGCAAAACCCTTCCTAGAAACAAAGAAGTTAAACTAATGGCCTAATACATAAGACAGCTACTGCACTCTTTCCTCCTCCCTTTTTTTTTTGTTGTTATTGGTTACCTTTAAACTACCTCGTTGTAGGATAAGAGACAAATGCAGCTCTTTATAAAGTGGTTTGTTTTTTTTTTTTTTTAAGGAAGGGACAACTTTGCATTTCAGAAGAATTGTGAAGTCAATTCAGGGAAACAGGGGCCATAGAACATAGAGGTGAAATTAGAAATGATAATTCACACTCACCCACCCTTAGATTTTTCTGCCCTGCCTAGCTTTTCCCCATTAGATGAACCAGAAGGCAAAACACTCCACGTTTTACTCTTACATGTGCCACTCTAATTACACAGGATATCCATTACAAGTCAGAATTTTGTATTCTGTCCAGAACTATCCAGGCAGTATCTGGATCAACTCTCCAAGGCCATGTTTCTGAAACAGAACCAGAAACATGAACTGCGTGGAAATAGGTACATCTCATGAAAATTAAAAAGTTTAAGTTCAGTAGGTATTGCATCTCCAACAACAAAAGAAAAAAAAAAATCAACATCACACACAAAAAACATACACCAAAACAAACAAACAGAAAAAAAAGACTGCAGTTCTCAGGAAGCCCTTTATTAAGTCAAGGCATTAAAGGAGGAATCACTGTTATTCACCATGCTTCTCATCTTGAGGTGGTTCATACTGAGCCAGCTGTGGATTTAAAGAGAGGAATTCAGTTAGCTGCAACATTTCAGAGACAGTTTTTACATTAAGAAGTACAGAAAAACATTTGGTCTGGAAGCGTTGCCGTCACTTTGTACGTTTTAATCCATCATTGATATTTTTACAAGTCCATTTTTGAGTCAGGCAACAAAGTAACCCTTCCCTCAAAACATTAGTTTGTCACGTTGTATAATCAGCAGCTATAACAAGGGGTCTTTTTAAATGCACTTTCAAGCATATAGGTCTTGCCCTTCATTTTCTTCCATTTCTTGTTCTCCGCTTCATTAAGTACTTTTCATCTCAAACTGCAGTTGATAAAGATCAGTGCCTTATAAGCTTTGACTGTTTCATTTAATCATATTTCAGTGAAATCACTCTCATAGCAACAGTGCCAAACTTACATTTCCTGTAATCATTTTAGTTTTCATTATGCTTACTGGAAAGTATGGCCTAGGCAACTATGCACTAAAGTTATTTCCAAGTAAAGATATGAAGGTGTTTAGTTAATCTTAGTTACATTAAAGATAAGCTCAAGCTTCAAAACCAGTTGAAGCATTAGGACTGAGTCTCTGAAATACGCCAGTCTGCTTTCCTTAATTAAGATTCTTCCCTTCTCCTGCAAATTGCAGAGTAGGATAAAAATACGCAAAATACATATAAAAAATTAAAATACCTATGTGTTTCTCATAACAACACTGAATTACAGCAATCACTATGCCACCAACACAAACTACCAAAATAGCATTTTGTCATTCTTATAGATTATACCACAAAAGATGGCCAGTACACAGTCAAAATCAGTTTTCTTTTCCATAAAGGGCCTAACTATTGGCTTTCTGCCTCACCTCCACCCAAATACCTGACATTCTGACCAGTAAATATAAGGAGAAGAACAGGTCTTCACAGATGAATGCAACAGAAGAACACCAGCTATTTGGACATGATTCAAGTTACCAATAAATAACTTTACCAAGGTAATAAATACCTTTACCAAGGTAAAGGCCCATATGTTATGCTAGAGGACCACTTAAAAAAAAAAAAAAAGGCAGCTAAACAGTGGTGTTCTCCCTGCATTCTGTCCCCATAAACTCTGTGAACTTCTACAGTATGTCAGAATGACAGGCAGAAGATGGTAGGGGAAAGAAAGCAAAACCACTAAACATTAGTTCTGGAAAACATGTATAGTACGAGTTATCATTTGAAGGCTGAAGAAGGTGAAAGCACAAAAAACCCCATGATTATTGATAATACTTACTTTCCTGGAACAAGTTTTGACCTCTTTAAAAGATTTCTTTGGGCAAAGACCCAGGTTATTCTGCTTTCCTGTGTCTGCTTACTATAGGTTGCATTTTTAAGTCGGCTACGCCGAGTGAACTGCTGGTCTATTGCTACTCTCCCTAAAATTCTGCTCTTTGCCATCTTTCCTAGTAAGAAATAACAAATGTAGCTGTAAGGACTCTCAGTGTGTAACAGAAAGAGAATTACTAGGACAGCAAGAGGGCACTCCAGATGAGAAATACAAAGGGGTAATGCCCAAGAATCCCTTCCCCCAGAACTAAGGTGTGGTAGTTTTCACAGTGAAAAACTCATAGACATCTTCACATACAACAACAGCCATTCTTTTCCAACAAATGCAGGGAAACCTGCAGCAGCACATAAGCTACAGCTTGTTAAAGTTCTCAAATGTTTCCTTCTTCAATGTTTTTCATTTTACAGTCAGTGCTCCCTGGTAAGGCAAAGTTATTCACATTTCAGAGCTGCTTCAGACAGCCTGTAGACCCATTAAAGAATGGCTCTGCCTTAGTGCTTCAGATCCACTGTTTTTGCAGTTAGAGCAATACCAGGGTCATTTTAGCTGAATAGTGCAAGTTACTGTTTGACACGGATACGAGTGCCTTCACTGGTAACATTCTGCCACGTGCAAGTCTGTGCCAGGTCACACAAGCTAATATATATCGTATTTCCTCCTTCGGTTTGCCTTTTGAAAGCCTTTATAATAGATACATTAGCTTTTTTCGTTTTCAAAACTCATGTGGAAACATGAGCTGCATAAGACAACTTAAACACATCCAGACAGGGCTGAAAGGAGACACGGGATTAGCCTTGAGAACATACACTTTTACTAAATAAATAAAATCCACAGTTTAGCAATACCGTTCTATGTTATAGAATATAAGAAGTGTCCCATCCAAAAAAAAAAAAAAATCATCTTAAATATTTACTACAATGAATTCTATCAGCATTCCTCAGATATGAGGCTAAACAATGCAACAACATTTATCAGTTACTCTAATAGAAGAAAGTTATCTGTATTCTAAGTATTAAAGTATTATTCTTGTTGTGTGATACGGAACTACTGAGGAATGCTAAGTAGACTGTTACCTTGGTTTTCAGTTTTTTATTTTCTTCCAACACAGCTTCATACTTTTCTTTCATCTCTGCCACTTCCAAGCGAAGTGCCTCTACTTCTGTGTTCTCAGGAGCTGAAGCTCCTAGATGGTGCTTCAGAAAGCTGACATTTAGATGTTAAGTATTTCTTCAGTTAGATAGTACAACCACGTTTTAGTTTGAAAATTTACAATGAAGTTAGTACTGCAATACACGCGACCAGAATTGCATTAAACCACTTAAGATTACTATAGTGCTTTTCATCCTACAGCACGAAGTTACAAAAATAAGAAAGCTTTTCAAGTTCAGTGATATATTCCTAAAAATACAAAAAAAAAAAAAAAGGAAAACAAGACATCAGTACACACAGGGCAAAGTCTCATGTTTTACTACATCCTCCTTTTCCTCTCTTAAAAGCAAAAGTTTTGAAGAGTTAAAAGGAATAGCCAGAAAGGGACCCTGCTTAAAACCAGCAAAAAACAAAACACATTTATTTCCCCCCCCACCTTGTATTAAAAGACAAAACAAAACAAAAAAAAAAAAGAAGAAAAG